GTTGTGTCTGCCCTTTGGCCTGTTTAAGGGGTGCTGTGGTCAATCAGGCATTACATGTGAGGGGCAAACCAAGGAGGGAGAGGGGAGCATTTCCTCAGTAAAATGAGGTCCAAGAGGTTGTTCTATACATCCGCTTTGTAAAGCGCCGAAGGTGGGGAGCCTCTGGAGCCTCGCTATGAAACAAAGACACATGTGCATGTATCGTGGAGCTCTGCAGGGTAAATGAACTAGGCTGTAGCTCCCAGGGGGGCACAGTTATTATGCTCATTGTGCAGTCGGCCAGCTAAAGCTGTTTGGCTGCTTCTTTTGAAGTTATATTTATCAAACCAGAGCAGGAGGCTTAGCAGCGCACTGGCGCATCGCTCCGTCCACACTGCAGAGACCATGGGCGCCGCTGCAGTCATGCTTCACATATCAATAATTAAACATATTTATCCTCATAATTCAAAACTGGAGGAAATAATTAAGACAGACACAAAACTTATTTGCAAGGTGTCCTTCCAGGGCCTGGGAGCCGAGTTACGCCTGTTTTGTCAGTGTGTTACTGGTGTAAATAATCCCTCTCTACGACGTGCTTTTGCTTAGTTTAGATCCAAAAAGAAAACTCAAACATTTATTAATGACAGCACTCAGGAGACACTGCATTAAGCGTTTGTGTAGCTTTTTAAATGGGGCTAATTATAATGTGCTTTTCTCTGTGGAGGGAGCAGTGTTGAGGTCCATTAGTCACATTAGTATTTCTACATCATATGTTGAATGCGACGGTTTCATTGCTTTGTTTGGACTGTGGGTCGACTCGTGCTTGTTAATACTATCCTCATTCACTGATATCATGCAGAGCACACATCCAAATGTAAGTGTTTTACAAGCACTTTGTCAAAGTCTCAAATAATTACATACAATGTAATTAGAAGTTCACATGCACCGAGAAGAATCCTGTCTGAAATTTTGATTTAATTATACATTGCGTTAATTCCAGCAACAGAATGAGTCTTTCGTCCACAACATGCTGTCTTCATTGCATTTCCTGTCAAATGATGGCTTTTATGTTTTGTTTTTTTCTGGTTGGAAAGTTAGGTACCGCAGCTTTAAAGTTTGTTGATAATTCCCGTCGTTGCTGCAGTAAACTGAAATGAAGAGCACGTTTTAGGGATGCAGTTGGAACAGTGTATGCTTGATAACGAACTGAAGTATAAATGTGTTTTTTCAATTACAGATATAATGACAAATAAAATCTTTATACAGATAACTATCAAACAGTGAGTGCCTGCGGAGGAGAACGCTGCACCGGGAACAAAACCAAAGGCTGAATGAGAAACCAAGCAGTGTTTTTTATGCAGATCTATAACATGGTTTTCGTCACAAGGTGTAACAAAAAAGGAACCCAAAATGCAGGAAAAAAAGTGTAATGAAATAAAACCGAAACCAGAGTAATTATTTATTTATTTGGTTGGGACAGTACATGTTAATGAACACATCACTCCGGATTATATCCATGGGCTCACTTGCATTCAGGAACACACACTCACACTCACATTCACCCTGAACTATTGCACATGTTTTTAGTGGTAGGGGAAACCGGAGTACCCGGAGGAAAAATACGCAGGGAGAACATGCAAACTCCACTTCAGAAAGTGTCACGGTGTGGATTTAGTTATTTTGTATTTTGGTTTTAGTTTGACTTTGATGTCCTGTTTTCCCCTGTCTTGATTGTCTGCCCCGCCCTGATGTGTTTCACCTGTGTCTCTGTGTGTCTATATGTACCCTGTGCTTCTCTCCCCTTGTTGCTGGTCCATTGTCTTGTCAACACCTGTCTTGTCCTGTTCTTGGTTATTTGATCCTGTTCCCTTCGGATTTTGAGTTTTATTTTCACTTTGGACTTTATTTCATTAAACCATTATTTTGGCATTCCTGCATTTTGAGTCCTCCATCTCGCCTCATGACAGAAAGGCCCTGTTCCGACCTGGATTCGAACCCAGGGCCTTGTTGCTGAGAAGCGAGAGTGCTATCCATTCCACTAAAACAATATACAATTAAAAAAAACAAAAAGCTAGGTACAGTACAAACGTGGGACAACAAGGATAAGAGAAGAACAGTTTTATTTGTCCCACAGTGGGGAAGTTTTGGTGTTTCACAGGACAGTAGTAACACATGGCTGATGCTATTAACGCTTCATAATACAATGCATAATACGAAATAAGTATATATAAATAGTTATATATAGATGAAGTGGCATTCAGTGGACATTCTGAATCTGCAGTATTACACATTGGACTTGAGTCTGTGTTTACTCTTTACAGATGAGTGACATATACAGACTCAGCAGTTCTCATTGTATAATTTGACGGCAGCAGGGAGCAAAGACACATAGAAATCCCATTAGAGCAGGGCAAGCACTCAATGGAGCGGAAAGGAGAACAGATGAGCAACTAAACTCAATCTAATAAGTCCACACCATAACACTCTGATATCATCTTTTAGGCTTTTGCAATCGTTCGTTTGTTATATTTTTTGTATGGATTTTACTTACTTGTTGTCACTTTTGAGTTCATTTCATTTCATTTCATCTCATTTATTCATTTATTTCAAACCTGCAGGTGTATACAAACAGGAAAACAAAAATACAATTGTTTTTTGATTCTTAATTAACCAAATATGTTAAAATTTGGAGTGCTTTTGACTTTTGAAAATGATCCAATAACTGGTGAAACTGTTTTATATATTGTATATTTCAAGCAATATAAGATTACTTTTCTTGAGCGGCACGTGGCTGAGTGGATAGCACTCTCGCTTCTCAGCAAGAAGGTCATGGGTTCGAATCCCGGTCGGAAACAGGGCCCAGTCTGAGTTGTTGTTGTCTGCATGTTCTCCCTGTGTCTGTGTAGGTTTCTTCCGGGTGTTTCCCCTACCACTAAAAACATGCACAATAGGTATGAATGTAAATGAGAGTGAATGGAATGTGTGGAATGATTGGAACAAAAATCTTCATTGTAAAGCGCTTTGGGTGACCTTGGTCTGTAAAATGCACTATATAAATAAACATTACTTACTTACTTTTTTGATAAAACTCCAAGCACTTTCCCCTTTTAAGCACAGCAAGATCTAAGACATGCCAAATTTACTCAAGTTCAGAAAACATGTTTGAAGGTTTTTTTTAATAATATCAATTCACCGTCCAATTAAAGTTGGGGTACCTAACTTTAGAATCACAAAACATTTGACAAATAATAAAACCTATGTAACGAGCCCCTCGCTCTCAGACTAGCGTGAACCTATCTCTAGTTTTCTCATTGGCCTCTGTCACTTTTCTGTCAGAAAAAGGTGATCTAATGAATTGATTCTCAGCCCCAAAGGCTCAATTAGTGACTCATTGGTCAGTTTACAAAAGAGATCATGTTTCTAACAATGAGGTGAAGACGGCATATAGTAACCTTGATTTGCTCACATTATACTTTTACAAGACAAAGAAAAAATGTGTTATTTATGTAGAAAGGTTAGGTACCCAGGCTTTAAGTATAAATTGCAAAAAATGTCAAATCAAAACAGCACTGTGATTATTTATCTTAATTTTCTTAAGTTTCTTCTTGTTTTGTTAGGCCCTTTGAGTTTCCTTGTGTATGAACTGTGCTATACAGATAAACTTGCCTTGCTTTGCCATGCTTTCAGGATTTTGGCTGAGGCCTTTGAACTGGTGACCTTGTGGTTAAACTGACGTTGCTCTCACAATCCCCTTCCTCTCTCTGTGTTCCAGCTTCCTGAGAGGAAACAGCGAGACGCAGTCAAGGTAAAAATCACAGTTTCATCGTTTATAGACCAACTTGTTTTCATCTGGATTACCGTTTATACTGTGTTAAAGAAAAAAACGTTTTTATACTTGTTTCTTGGATGCTAAAGAGATTTTATTCTGTTTTAATTAGTGATTGTTCATTTATCTTGTGCTGTGTGCTCCTGATTCTGTACCTTGTGATGCAACACTGAAATGTCCCCACTGTGGAACAAAGTGGGGAAATCTCTCTCTATCTTTAAATTTACAACAACAATTGAACAATGTAATATAATCAGTATAACCAAAACAGTTTGGTTCATCACCAGTTTTCACATGCTTGGGTTTTGGCCTCTGTCACTTCTTTAGATCAGTTTTTACAGAAAAGGGAAAAGGGAGGACCACCCTCCCTGATTTTTTCTTAGGACTTTCAGTTAGACACATTTTTTTTATTAGTTTTGGAAAAAAGTTAGGTGCCCCATCTTTAAAGGAAACGTTTTATGCACAATTGGTCTTTTTTTCTTTCTGCATGAAGCAACACTGTTACATGGAGTATCATCCATGCTATTATTGTCACACACAATTGTCTTGTAAAAGTACAATGTTGTGAACAAATCAGACCACAACACGTCGCATGGAATGGCAGTGGCACAGTGGTTAGCACTCTTGCATCTCAGCATGAAGGTCCTGGATTCGAATGCTTGAGTGGAAAGAAATGTATACTCTTTAGTTCTGTGTCTGTGTAGGTTTCTTCCAGGTGCTCTGGTTTCCCGCAGTACAAACATGCACAGCAGGTTAAATCCTCCAGCTCTGGACATGACCAAGCTGAGCATCAACATCTGGAGATGGGTCCCCAGGGCGACCACTGCTCCTGACAGGATGGGTCCAAAGCAGGGGACCAAGCGAGTGAGTGTGAGTCACTATTTGACACTGGGACTGAGAGCTGATTGGTTCTCTCGTTTTGACTTCTAGTTGAAAAAGACCAAAAATGCATCACGTGAAAACTGGTGAAAGTTCCTATTTTGTGACTCCCGTAGTTCATACGCATCCAAAAAAATCGAATGTATTTATACTGATGGCAAAATGTTGTACGCACATACATTTCTTCCACTCGTGATTGCAAAGAAATAAACCAAGGCCACTTGTTGCTTTTCTCAAAATGAGCTTCTCATTTCACCTTTTCAACCCCAGTCAAACTCCTGTTTCTATGGCTTTATCCGGCAACCTCCGGAGCCAATCAGCCTCCATCCTCCAGCCCGTCCCCAAATCCCACCAGTGGCGGCTGCGCTACAGGTAGCCCCATCCGTTTGTGCCTTTGATTGGAAACTTTCGGAGGGAGTGGACCACCCAGCGACCCAGACGCGCACCAGCGCTGGCAGAGACTGACAGCGCGCACCATGGCAACAGTTTGGCGAGTTTCCAGGCGGGTTTGAGTTGCCAGGCAGAAATGTGGTCGGCTATGGCAGATTAGTGGTGAGGATAGAGACATGGGCTTTCACCTGCCATTGGGAAAAAAACTGAATAAATAGCAGCACATGCGCAGTCGGCTGTTACTATAGCGTCCTCCTGTAGTAGTAGTAGCAGCGTACGTCAGCACAGACGCACGTGGCTCGATCAGCGTGTGGAGCGGCGTGGGAGCAGGGGAGTGCAGGGGAGTGCATGGTAACAAGAAGGAAGAGTTTCATGATTTTTACAGGCTGTTTGCGCATAGACACATGCCATTACTCAAAGTCATGAAAAGCCAGTCAAATTAGTTAAAATGTTATATTTATTGCCGTTGTAAAAAGAAGTCACAAACCATGAATTTGCTTTGTTCTATGGTTCAGATAAGTCATATATTTGAAAAAAACAATATAATAATGCATAATAAATGAAAACGTAAGTAAAATTCTAATATTTAAATGAATACAAAATAAATTCAACAGTGCAGATTATCAACAAGAAATTCTTGTTTGTAAATGGAATATGTGTTTTACATTAGGACAAGCTTCATACTGAAGGGTGAGTGAAAGCACTGCAAAATATGATGACAAATGGTCTCTTTATCTTATTTTTTTAATGCTTGTTTCTATTTTGAAATGTTATCCAGCATACTTGGAATCCTAATTCAGTCTATACTGTTCTGTCTGTTCTTGTGCTTTCACTGCAAAAAGTCACTCATTTAAAACAAAAATACTTAAAACAAAACTTAATTGCTTGTTATAAGAAAAATAACTGCTCATTTGTTTCTGTTTAAAAATGTATTTATTTATGTTTGACAAATAAATCGTACAAGAATAAATGGGACTTTTGAATGGACAAAATGAATAGGGTTTAAAAAGTCATAGCTTTAGCATTTTGTTTTATAATTTTTTTTCTTCAGTTCAATTCTCAAATTCATGATCTTGATCATTTGTGTTTAGGATTATGTGCATGTACCCTCTCCTCCTACTCTGCAAAATATATTCATTGTGGCAGTGGAACATTACAATAATGCTGCAAAAAAGAAAGCTTGAGTCGAGTGGTTTTTATCTCAGTTTGAGCACATTCTGACTGTCTTAAAACAAGATTTGCCAAAGGGACGAGCAATGTAGTCTTATTTTCAGAACTGTGGTTTTTTTTGTCATTCCAACACACATTTCTCGCATCTTTTTAAGACAAGATAATTTTTCTTGTCCTATTGACAAATCTTGTCAATAAATTAAGATACATTTAACCAAATTTGAGCAATTCCTTATTCATTTTTCATCACTTTGCAGTGAAACTCAAATTTACTATAACAAAAGGAAAAAAAGGAAGTCAGTGCCATGAGTGTACACAACTGCGTTGGAGAAATAGTCTTTAAACTTTTTGATGTTTAAATAAACAAACACGGAATGAGAAAAAAATGCTCTTGAGTTTGGAAGCCTGTTTAATCCATTTAGCAAGTGTTATTTCAGAACAGTCCAAATCTATTAAGATTAGGATACATTTGGGCCAAATTCAAGCATATACAAACACATTGTCGTCCTTGTGTGTTGTGTGGGCTTTCACCTGCTTGGAAAAGAGGAATCCGAGTGTGCACATGCTCAGTTGGCTCTTACTACGTCCTCCTGTAGTAGTAGTGTACGTCACAGAGCAGCAGCACGTGGCTCATTCACCAGGAGGCCGAGCAGAGTGTGCATGGTAACAGGGAAAAGGAAGATTTGAATACATTTGGACTGACAAAGTCTTGTTTTACTTAAATCAAGCCCAAGAACAAGCCGTATTTCATTTGGAATGCCTTTTGTGTTAGTCAAGTATTAGCAGTAGTAGTAGTAGCGGTAGTGGTAGTAGTAGTAGTAGTATTAGTGGTGGTAGTAGGAGTAATGGTAGTAGCTATAGTACTTGTAATAGTAGTTGTAGTAGTAGTAGTAATAATAGTACTAGTAGTAGTTGTAGTAGAAGTAGTAATAGTAGTTGTAGTAGTTCTGATAGTAGTAGTAGTGTAGTAGTAATAGTAGTTGTTGTAGTAGTTGCTTAATTCAAGCAATTATCAACGTGGTATTTTTTTCGCCGTAGGCCACACAGGCTGGGCACGTGGTCCATTCACTATTTGGGAAGTAGTAGTAGCAGTAGCAATAGTGAAAGCAGCAGCAGCCGCAGTTAGTTGTAGCAGTAGTAGTAGTAGTGGCAGCAGTAGAAGTACAGTTCCCATTGTCATCATTCCAATGCATATAAAAGTCATTTGAGTTAGATAACATTAGAATTGTTATAGTTTATTTTGTATCATATTCAACACAAAGAAGCTCCGGAGGGCAGGGAGAGTGTGCAGCCTGAGGAACTCACAAGAGAGAACAGCAGTGAAGGACGGAGGAGACACGGTGAAAGGACAAATTTACCTGGCAACGTATCCCAGTTGCACCAGCCTATCTACGACTCGGGCAGTGGTTTGTGATTGGTCGAACTGGTTTGGACGGCGCTTTCCTATTGTGCATGGCGGCTCAATGATGAAGACGTAAAATCCAGGCAGAAGAGTTGCATAGTTCAGCGAGAGGTCTGGAGGAGAGGAGGCGGAGCACCATTGTTGGGAGATGCTGCGATCCCACATACCAAGAGGAGTATTGTAGCAGCTACATGCCACATACGGCTTTCCTTTGACACGAGCCCAAACCCAAGTGGTGCTGCTGAAAGGCCGTGTAAGAACAGGAAAGACGGCTATACAAAGCTGTAACATGGGAATCCGCCTTGCACAATGTAAGGAAGAAATAGTTTCACGCTAACTTGACGCCCCACTACCCGTTTGTCTGAAACTTATTTTTAAATATTTAGAAGTTTTTTGAATTTTCAATAAGTGCTTACTTTTACCAATGCACTGTTTGCTGCCACACTATGAGGGCTGAGTATGTCTGTTTGGCAAAGGAAAGCTTGGACTTAAAACCTTTACTCATTATAATAATGTAATTGCTTTTGCCTTCTGTCATAGCTATAAATTGGCTTTTCCTGACAGAAAAGTGAAAAAGAGAAGACCACGTTCACTCATCCAATAAGCTTTTAGCCCAAAATGTCAAAAGTGACTCATAGGGCTAGTTCATCATACAAAAGAAAACTTTTAAATTAGAATAAAACAACAGCGTAATGCGGTCTCATTTGTTAATTTCTGCTTGGACAAAGGTATTATTGATGCTAAAGCTAAGCTTTAAGTCACCATAGTGACACCACTTTATTCCCAACAGTCTCCCATTACAGTAATGTCCAAGCCATGCACTGCTTAACCCAACATTGCAGCATCGTTTTTATGACTCGCATCCTGATGATCATACTTTGCTCATATTTATTATTTAAAACTATTTTTGACGTCTTTTGCTCATTAGAAAATAACATTTATTTTTAAGCATAAACTCGCACTTAATACCACACTCTTTCTTCAGTGTGTAGCTAAGTTTGTCTCAACTTCCTTGTTTGAATGGACACATGTGGGTAATATCTTGTGGTTCTTCTGGCACACCCTACGCTGATTCTGGTTAGCTCCTCTTTGTTAGCATCACTTACACGGTTCTCCACCTCAAACAGTCGCTCTGCACACGATAGCGCTGAGTCCGTCTCCAACCTAAAGTTTGGGAGCAACTTGTGACTCGCCACCTCATTAAAAGAAGCTCCTGGAGAATTTCATTTAAGAAAACGTGCTTAATATTGTTATTTTCATGCTGCACTTTTGTTGATGCCTGTTTTGATTAACTGCATCACATTAATGACTAGACTGTAAAAAGGCAACATATCAAGTTAGAAATTTATCACATTTGTTTGAAGTTTATTCTAATTTTAAAAACAATGTTAATGTCACAAAATACATTTGCAGATGAAACATGAAATCAAAACTAAAGTTGCTATTCCCATGGGTAATTTCATAATTTAAGATCATCAAAACGCTCTGAAATGGAGATAAAAACTATTTTATCATTGTCTTTTGCTCGGTAAAGCAGCATTATGTTAGATTTCTTTCACTTTCTTAAAGACGTTGCTTACTGACAGTAGTACAAATATCTCTACAAAGGGCAGAAAGGTTGGGGACCCCTGCTCTAAATAGTAACACCTATTTTGCCACATTTGGACTTCTCCTATAGTATTGGGTCATGGAAACTATAATATTCCCCATTGATATGCACGAGCGGACTTGGAGCCTGAGAGGGAACTCCAGAAGTGACATTAACATCAATATTCAGAATATCCCCTACTCATATGAGGCGGTAATGGCACTTTTAACTTTAATCTGTGGCAGGGGCAGACGTGTTGCCAAGATGGTTTCTAAGACAAACTGGAGTTTCCCCTCCAAATGAAGGCGTGTAATAGGTCAATCTTTATACAACTCATATCTGGATTTTCAAAGACCAATCAAAATATAAACACCAGGTTCATAGAGAGCGTTAGAACAGATTTTTAAAACATAAAATGGTGAGTGTGACACAAACAATTACCAAAGGAGGTCACTGATAACCAAGTCAGTAGGAGCCAGAGCTTTTGGAGTAAAACCATGTCCATGCATTTCCTGTTGGGATTCCTTGAGCTAGCGAGTTAGCATTGCCCATCAGTCTATGCAGTTTCCCCACATGTGTGCAGTAGACATGAAGTAGTAGTAGTGAACAGACAGTCCAGTAGGTGGCGACAAAGACAAAGATTTTGAGGAGATTGCTGTGGCTCAGCCGCTGTAGCCCTAACTGCAGCAAAGGCCTGGGCTGCGTCCCTATTCACAAAGAATTAGATCTGTCTTCTTTTATGAGACAGCATGGCAGGGGATTTGGCCGAATCCTGTTCGAATGCCGTGTTCTTTTATATCATTCGGGTACAGAGGTGGTGAGTAAGTATTTTTTAAAGAATGGACCTTAAGTATAGTGCTTTTAGTGCTTTACTACTTTGTTTCTGACCACTTTCTGGCTACTTTTACGTCTCACTTTTGAATCCAAATATCAATACTGTCTGCTCCTAACATTTTATTATGAGTAGTTACCACTAGTTCTACATTTATTGTTTATTGTCATATCCTTTGCCAGTATGATACATCTAGCACAATGTTGTGTACGCGTTTAAAAGCTTAAAAAGTAATATGTAATGTCTGTAATTGAAATACATCTACTGTTTGTCAATTCAACAATTGCCAGACAGTCAATTAAGTTAGTGGTTTGTCCCTCATCATACATTTTAAGTATTTTAAGTATTTTGTATTTCATTTGAGTAATGTTGCCTCACACCTGACAGGCCCCACTCTTTCACTGTTTTTATTGACCAAATTAATTTCTGAATCTATGTAGGAAAAATCTTCTGCTCTCTAACTTGATGATGTGGTTCGAGCGGTGCATGCAAGGCCTTTGATAACGGTGTTTTCACAATATCAAGATTTCAAATGCATCGAGTATAACAATGAGCCTTTTCAGAAATAGCAGACAGGAGCACGTTATGTCCTCTTTAACATATTTGCTGTCAGTTCTCAAAATGTGAAACCCACCACCAGTAAACATATTTGTTAATGGGGAGAAGAAAGATAATCCACATGTCCATTTAAACTTAATTATCCCTTTTAACAAGTAGATTAGAAAATATTTAGTTTTTAATTTACTTAAAATGTTTGGGGTTTTTTTACTTTTTGGTGGCAAGTACGTGTTAGACGGACCCGTTCTCACCCCCACTGCTTCTTGATTGGCCGTTTTTTGTTCAAATCCTTGATGCACAGATGAAGGGCCACTTCCATTGATCTAACTATTCTCCTCTAGCAAATGTTATTGGTGGTGGTTATGTCAAGGAGAAAGAGACTGTATTAGATTTATTCTTTTTGAAAAATACTATGTGGTACTACAGGGTTATGTGGTCAGAAATACATTATGCATTCTTTTTAAAATGAAATTAAAATTACAAATTGGTCTCATTTCAATGAGTGTCCTTTCTTTTCATGACTATTGACTGTAGATTCACACCCAGGCTGTGTAAGGGCTATTTGACCAATAAGGAGAGTGGTGGGTGCAGGGCCAGATGACCCAGCCTCCACAGTCCGGACCTGAACCCAATCCAGATGGTTTTGGGGTGTGCTGGACCACAGAGTGAAGGCAAAAGACCAACAAGTGCTAAGCATCTCTGGGAACTCCTTCAACCATTTCAGGTCACAACCTCTTGAAGCTCATCAAGAGAATGCCAAGAGTGTGCGAAGCAGTAATCAGAGCAAAAGGTGCTTCTTTGAAGAACCTAGAATATAAGACATATTTTCAGTTATTCATACTTTTTTTTAGTACGTACAAAATTCCACATGAGTTAATTCATAGTTTTAATGCCTTCAGTGTCAATCTACAATTTTCATAATCATGAAAATAAAAATGAAAAGGTGTGTCCAAACTTTTGTCTGTACTGTATACATCAAAACTGTGTTTTTTATTAAATCTTATTGTTTAGAAATATATGGTATGGACTGTTATTAGATATGTATAACCAGCCCTATAGTAATTAATAAACTCCATTGGTATTGATTATATTCATGGTATGGCAGTGTTTTGCATTCAGAGTAGACACAGGGAGATTCAGACCAATGGCGCCGCTTACTCAAAGTGACAAAGTGCTGACGAGGATCCGGTCGGGGTCATCGGTCCAGTCTGTGCTCTGCGGTGTGAGGTAGTTGGTTGTATGGTTTCGCATAATAAACAGCACGGAGATAACTGTACAACCTTCTAGCTTTCCCCGCGGAGTCACTCATCATCGCACGAGCAGCCCCCCCCCCCCCTTGAGAGCGGAGAGGTAAGTCTGCCATCAATCTGTCGCAGGAGGTCCACGGGTTTAAAGAGGAAATATGTTGGATTTTATGATATTTCAGATTTAAAACAACAACACTGCACATTGGAGTAGCGGCAGAACATGTGAACTTCAGTCTTGGATGAAGTCTTTTGCAAAAAAAAATTACTCATAATATAGAGATCGACCGACAGGGATTTTCTTTGACCGATGCCAATTTTTTCCAAGTTTGAGTGGCTGATCAAAATAGAAGATTTTAAATTTTTTATCTTTATTTAAGGGTTTTTTGTGGGCCTCAAATAAATAAGGTTGGGGCTAATGCTAATATTCAAGTTAGCAATGATGAAGCTTTACACATTGTCTGGCTAATAAAAAAAAAGAGGAAAATGTGAAATGAAATGAATCTGTGGTGTGGTTTATGCTTTAACCTTTTATATTATGGTCGTATTTTCAACAAATTATTAGTTTTATTCACTATGAGTTTGGATTTGATTTTTGTTGTTTTTTTGTTTTTTTTCTGAACAAAATGGTTTATGTTGTGCTTATGATTACATAACTTGACATAACGGCAATGGATGGCACGGTGGCTGAGTGGTTAGCACTCTCACTTTTCAGTGGGGAAACCGATACCACTTTTTTCAAAACCGATACGAGTGCCTTAGTTTGAGTACTTTCTGATACCAAATACCGATACAAATACTGCAATGTATTTATGGGAATTCATAAAACTAAAACAAACTTTATTTTTCATTTCAACAAAAAGAAAATGCTTTAACAATTACCAATAAGAGCCACTGCAAAGGCGATATAGTCCACGTTGTTGTGAGTTTTAGATGTTTGAGC